ATTGGCAACATTGGGGACGTATCAGATCTTCTTGAATGGGCTGCAGGAATAAGGTCTGTTTGTTTTTTTTTTCTTTCATTTTTCTTTTGTATTAAATAGTTTCTATGAATATCTTCATTTTTTTTCCAATCATCCTTTAGGAGAGTTGGAAAAAGTGAGAAGAATGATGCATCTTCTCGAAGTCACATGGTCCTAACTTTAAAGATCAACGAAAAAAATGAGGTAACCTTTTTAAGAGTCCAACTGTTATATATAAATTCATTTCGATTAATTAAACTGAATCATCTTGATACATTCCTTGTATTTATTAAATTGTAGAAAACTGGCGAAGGACAAAAAGGGATGCTAAATCTTATTGATTAGCAATGAAGCGGTGACAAATGAAAGCACAGGGCAAGCCACTATGGAAACAAAGGTCCAAACCTGAAATTCATACATTTTTTTGTAACTTTCACATGAAAACAGAATTTTGATTTTAATTTTCTATTTGTTTTTTTTTTCAGGCAATCAACACTAGTTTGACTGCAATCAACACTAGTTTGACTGCACTGGGCAGAATTTTTTGTCAGCTTGGAAATAAGAAACAAAGTCAAGTTAGTTACAAAGACTCAATGCTTACTTATCTTTTCAAGGTAATGCCTGATTTTCTTAGGAATATATAGTTTTTCTTTTCATTTTGTTTGGATATACAAAATATAAATGTTTCTTTTTTTTAAAAAGTTTATAATTTAATAACTAATTCAATGTGTAGCCTTGTCTGTTCGGAAATTCAAAAGCCCTAATGTTTGTCAATGTTTCACCCGATCCATCATCTATGCTACAATCAATAAACTCATTACGCTTTGCCTCACAAGTGAACTCATGTGAGAATGGAATCCAACGTCCTCAGACCACCACCACCAAGAAGACCACCACCAAGCGGATGCGTGTTTGAGTTGTGGGTGAAACCAGAGCGGAATGGAGTTAGAGATGGTTTTCAAATATGAAACTTATTATGAATTCAAATTTGTACGATATATATTGTAGTATGCGCAAAAAAATTCATTAAACATAATTAGTCTGGCTAAGCATCTTGGAACTAGGATTTGTGATCATGTTCCTGAAACACCAAACAAGTCGTCGCAGCAGGGGTGGAGGTCGTCGATGGCGTCTTGTGCTGGTGGCGGACTTGCCGGAATCGACTAGCCGGCGTCGGATGTGGCGGGAGCGAAGAAGATGATGGTTGCAATGTGAAAGACGTCGTCTGTGGGTTTGCGTTTAAGACTCCCGTTCCATTTGTTTTCCTTTCTTTTTCTAATGGGATAATGACTTAAAAAGGTGAGTTTTTCACCAAAATAAAGTTATTTGAGAAAGTATTAGGGGCAGTTTGGCAGGATCTGAATTTTTAAGATCTAAATTTTTAAGAGGTCTTGAATTTTTAAGATCTGAATTTTAGCATGCTATTTGGTTGGAACCTCTGAATCGTTGTGCTTAATAATAAAAATGACCATTTTAACCTTCTTTGTCATTTCTTTCAATTATAAAATTGTACTTCAAACCTTTCCTTATTAAGACATCGTATTTTAAAAGCTATAACCAATTATATCATTATAATTGAGTAGAAATAGAAAGTACCATGCTATAAAAATAAAAATGACTATTTTACCTTTTAACTATTTTTTTCAACACCATCAATTTCACCAAACTATCGACACCCTCCCTTTGTAGACCTGGTATTGTTCATGTCCATTATCATCCTCCCTTTGTAGACCTCGGTTATTATCAAACACCTATATCAACCAAACAAAGGATACATCATATGATGTCTAATTATCAAACAGCAACTAAAAATGATAATGCATAACATTGGCTATTGAACCGAGGTCAATTTGATTATGGTACTTCTAACATCATCACTTTCTTGGGTGAAAGATCGTCAGTTGTCAATTTGATTATGGTTCAGCTTCAAAAAGTTGTCAGAACATTGATAACCATCTATCAGTTATGCATATTTCATAAACTAAAAACATTAGTTACCAACAGGGTTAACTATTAATGGTAATCCAATGACCCAACAAAGCTTTTACCCGATGAAATTTTCGTTCAATCAAAATATAGATACAAATTGCTTTTGAATAATCAAAACATGATTCAAATTGCTTTTGAATAATTATCAAGTTTATAGAAACACATCGCAACTGAGATACATGATGAAATTTTCGTTCAATCAAAATATAGATACATAAAGATACACATGAAGCTAATCGTATGAGAAAGACGACCATGGGCCTAACCTGTTTCTGCTGAATTGTGAGGTGATCAATCTAGGGCTTCAATGTCGAGCTTCTTGAGCGGCTGAAGGGAGGAATTTCGTTTCTAGGGAAGCGTCGTTGGTGGCGTGGAAGGAGGAACGTATCAGAGGGCAACAGTGTAGCGATGTATGTTTTTCCATTGTGGCTACTGATGGGAGGAGATCGCCGGAGGCAGGGAGGATGATGGCGGTGGGAGATGTCGATGGTGGAGGGGTCGATGATGGTGGAAGGAATCGATGGCTGTGGTAGGCGTCGATGGAGGAGAGCAAGAGATGGAAGGGTTTTGGGAGAATGAG